TGATGAGCTGAACAAGTTTACTTAAGAGCCCAGGACAGGTTGTCTTAGTAAAATAAATAGTTATAAGAGTTTTTAGATGGACGAATTTTTTTATTAATTTTTGTGTAATGGATTTGCAGAAAGAGTTTTTTTTTTATATTACATATTATTAAATATATATTAAATTTATTTAAAAATTAAATACAGCATCTGAAATCTAAAATACAAAGAACCTAACCCTGGAGCATCACCCGGGCTTGAGAGCTAGTAAACTATATAAAAGCACAGTAGTTTAATAACTAGTTTTGACTATAAGTGTTAATTCTATTATAATAATACCAAGTTAACTGTAAAAATAAGTACAAAAGACTCTGAAAGGTTTATTTCAAAAATAAAATAGTTCTAAGGTTGCGATTATAACCTAAACATGATTCAGTAATGTTAACACAAGTGCAGGTTTAGAGGATTTAAAATAAAACATCCAAGTAAGAATATTAGATATAACAATTGGTAAGAAACTTTTAGGTGAACTTCTTGAATAAGTAATATAAAAAAGTTACAAATGTATCCAATTATATATTCTTTCTGTAGTGGTTTATAAAATCACATTATCAAAAAAGTCATTAATAAAAATCAAAAGACCAAAAAGATCACCTTAATATCAAAAAAAAATTTTTTCTAAAATACAACCAAAATTGTTCTGTAGTCTTGCAAAATATATTTAAAAATTATAAAATTATAAAATTTCCAAACAAATTTGATTAAAAATACAAATTATTTTGAAATTAATATATTAAATAATACATACAATCAAATTCCTTTATGATTACACATTGGGTTTTAAGAAATTCTGTGTTTATAAAAAATTGGACTTATACAAAAATTAAATTCTATATATTTTATACGAGTTTGTTTAAAAATTAGTGCGATTATAAGCAAATACAGTATAACTATATCAGTGTTGTTAATTTTGGCTTCTAGTGCCTTCTAGTAGAAATTTCTAATAGTAAAAGTTTCAGTGGTACTATTAATTTTTGCTTTCAGTGAAGTTCCAGTGGTCTTCCAGTGTTTCCACTAAACTATATAGTGTGTGACTACGTATAAAAAAATTTAACTGTGCATACTGTATTAAACATTAATGTAATTGGCAAGCAATTTGTTTGTTTAGTCTATAAACCTAGTTTTTTTAAAAAAAAACTAATGCATTTAAATAAAGTTTTTTGACAATACGCATTTAAAAATAAAATCATAAAAAAGTTTATTTATAATAATAATAAGCTAAAAAAATAGTATAATTATAGATACCCCAACAAAACCGTAAAAAATGCATCGATCAGATCTCTCAGAACGATCGACACAAATTTAAGATTTCAGATCAGATATAGTGTGAATATCATTTTTTTAAATTCCTTACACAACATTTTAGATCACAACCTTAAAAGATTTAAAAATTGTCCATGTTTTGTCGTTTTGATGATACCTGTTGGGTCTTGATTATACGAGGGGTAGCTATAGGTAGAGTTTGGAAACAATTTTTTTTTTTTTTTTATCACGCATGGTATTGCCACATTCTGAATCAGCTTCGCTTTATAAATGGTAACCTTTTTTTTTGTTTTTACTTCGAGAACAATTATACAACATAAAATACGAGTGTGGCCAGCGAGTGTTCCCTGATTATAGTTTATTATTGCAGATTTAATTTAAGATAATAACCGACTAAGCTGGCTTATCCGTATCAAACCACCAACTCGGCTAAGTTTGTAAGTTGTTTAATCGATTACAATCATTAATTAGAAGTATCTGGAGTTGTAATGTCGGAGTGCAATAACTCGTCACACTTGAAGATCACCGACTCGGTTAAGTTTGTAAGTTTTTTAATCGACTACACAATCACTAATTAGAAGTATCTGGGGTTGTAATGTCGGAGCGCAACAATAACTCGTCATACTTAAAAAAGTCGCTTGTCCGTGGTGTATGAAGATAGTAATTTGGTCGCGTGACAAGAGGTCGAGGTTTATAACACATTGTTGCTTCCATGACTGCATCAACTTCAGCATCTGAATCGACTACAGCGACATCTCTTTCCGAATCTTCGATCTTATTATCTTGTCTATTATTTGATACTGCAGCTTCTTCTAAAAATTAGGTTAAATAAAAAGGTTAATTTCAATAATCAGATCATGGTCTGATCATTATTATATATGCATGTGTGACTCACTTTGCGGACGTTCTGCAGCTTTTTTCTTTTGATGTTCGGCGAGTAACTCATCGTATCTCCTTGAACGACCTTGAACAGCTCGTTTTGAACCAACAGAATGAGTTTTACAAGTCAATGAACGTGTGCATGGAGTAGTTTTTGGATATTGAATAACACCACATTGTTTATCCAAATCGATAGGTCCTATTAACGTTAAATATCGGCTTGTAAAAATATAATTTTATTAAAATATATTATTTATTAAAAGATGATGTAATCACCCTTATTTCTCCCTACAGGTTTTAATTTTTTTTTTTTTTCTTTGGTTTTCTTCTTTTTCTCGGTTGATGGATCTGTATCTGAATGAGATAACGTTCTTTTTGTCGATTTTAATTGTTCTGTAACTTCATCTAATGAAATTAAAATAATAAAATTATTATATTTTCTAATTAATACGAAAGTTTTAAATAAAATAAATGAAAATTTACCTTCGGAAATATGTGCACTTTTGCCATTTTTTTTAGAATTATTTAATTCACCCATTTTACAAAAATTCTTTTCTTACAATCTTAACAATAAGAATTCCAAAGTCAAAAATTGAAGGGTTCTCAAAAAAGTTGATTTAAAATTTGATCATAATTAAGTATATTCGATTATTCCGTGCAACCTTGTAAGAGGTTTCACTTCCTTCACCTCCGTTTCTGTCTTAACGCAGGTGCCGGCCAAAATTAATACATCGCGTTGGAAAGTATGTATGTACGTGGCTTTTAATGTTACGGCACGGATGTTACAACTGTTACACTTATTTATAAAAGTTAACCAATGATAAGCAATTGCAGTAGGAATGAAAGCTTTACACTAAATGTTGTCGATATGTACTGCATAAAACTGATTGTCACATTTCTGCATTTATGTTAATCGTCACAGCACATCCTCCGAACTTGATTCATGTCGCAATATAGAAAACCGAATATTAAATTAGCAAGTATATGGGATTTAGAATCCGATGATGATGAAGGAGAAGTTGACGAAAGAATAGATGAAGCCCCAAATATTCCATGGAGTCAATTTCCAAAGGAAGAATGGGATCTGATCAAAGCTAAAACACGACAAGGCTGCAACTGCGACGATTGTGAACGAGGTTTTTTTTTTTTTTTTTTGGTATTTTCTATAAGAGACAGAGTTAGATTTCTAATTTGTCAAAAATTTTATATTCGGTTGAATTTAGCGATTGATCCAACGATCCGACCGGATTTTTCAGCTCTTCGAAAAATATTTTCATCGGATAAGTTACTCCGTCAAGCAGCTATATTCGCTGGGACACGTAAGATTAATGAAAAAATTGTAGATCACTTTCATACTACTTGGAGACATCCAATGCATATGGGCGTTCCCAATGTTGAGTTTGTGTCTTTCATGATGAGTGATACGAACGTTTGTCAAAGATTTGACGATTATATGTCAGAATTATTATTAATTCTTGATGACCCTAACGTAAAGCCTTTATGGCATGGTACAAAAGTAAACTGCAAATTTGCTGACAAACCGTGTGATCCTACTTCAATAGATAGTTGTGCTGGATGTAGTATATTAAGTAAAGGATTTGATATAAGCAAGAGCGGATCAGCAAATCCATTTAAAAGGTGAAAATGATTAAATAAGTAATTTCATTTGTTGATTTTCTTTTATTTATCATTTTAATAAATTAATAATAAATCAATTTTCCAATATTAGATTTGGGAGTGGCATTTATTTTGCCCCAAATTCCTCAAAAGCTCATGGTTATGCTACACCTCGAGGAGGTGGCGAAGACTTATATACCATTTTATTTTGTTTTGTCGCTTTGGGAAGGTAGACTTCTTTTTATCATTTTATTTCATCATTTTATTCTTTTTATTTAAATAGCTCTAAAAATTATCTCATCTACTTATGTTGGGTAAAAGGTGTCATACGACAATTGATGACATTCCGGGTCTAGCTGAACCTCCGTATCCTTGTCATTCTGTACATGGACGTATAGGACATCGATTGAATTATGAAGAATACGTTATATACAGACCGGATGCTGTTGTTCCCTTTGCTGCTGTAACGTATCGAATGACTAAGTGGTGATAAAAGATTATGGCAATACTCATATAAACTCATTGTAAATTAGTATTAATTCATTCATTTAACCTTTTTTGGTTGATTACGTTAAATTGATTACATGTATGACTAATTATATACTATGTATTTAATAATTATCTGATCTGAAAGTGTATTATATACTTTATTAATTTAAATATATTGAAAGATCTTATTATACAAAAAGTTAATAATATGATTTTTATCAGATGTGATGGATTCCTATTGTACTTCGTTTTCCCTTCAATAATTAATTCCCTAACCTCTATTTAATGGTAAAAAAAAAAATTATAATACTATTTAAAAAATAAATAATTATTGTGCTTTATAAACAATCAAATACTGAGGGATTGATGCCTCTTCTCTATACACGACTACTTCATCATAATTTAAATTTCCAGTTTGACTAGGTTCTCCTAATACACTATCATATCCAGGTGGTGGAGCTGTAAGTGTCATATTATCTACAGTAAGAGGATGTCCTTTTCCTACTACAACTTTATTTAATATCATTACTTTATAACTTACACCATAAAAATCTTTTAATGAACCGTCATTATAATCATCAGATTTTGATGATGTACCAGAGAAATAAATTCCTCTACCAAATCTAGAAAATATCGTGCCTGTACCTACAAACCTAAGTTTATACCCTTCCCTTATAATACAACAGACCGAACATGATTTGTCATTGCATACCTGTCCATCATTTTTAAGGCCAATAAGACATGACCTAAAAATTATGATTTATTCAATAACAGGTATAAATAAATATATATATATAACTAGATTAAAAAAACTTACATTTTTGTTCCATGAAATCTTCTTTGTTCATTTCCTGCACTCATTAACCGTCTTCCATCACCTTTTGGAAAAGGTTTGCCAGCCAATTGTTGCTGCTTTTCAACTTCTTCTCGGTAAAGTCTATATCTGGAAACTAAAGCTTCTGTACAATATATCTTCCATACTTTACTAATTTCAGGAGTAGGTTTATGTGGATGTTTCCATGCATCTTTAAATTGTTTTGCAACGTCTTTATATTTTTGACTATTTGCCGGAAGTTTAAGCATACAAGGTGCTAAAAATAAATAATATAATTATATGTAAACCGTTAAATAATTATTTAAATTCAGATTAATTAGGTAGTAATAAATGATAATATATATATATATATACCGTTACTATGAACAAAACTCTCGCATTGACTACTACAAAAATCTTGTCCTGATATTGCACGATCTCTATTACAATATAAACAAAGTTGATTACTTCTTTCAATAACTAAATTCCTCCAATTAGGTGTTCTATCTCGACAAAATTTTGAACACCAAAGAGAACGAGGGAAAACACGTTTAGCCTTGAAAAAATAAAATGAAAATATTAATATATATATAATAAAACATATAAATAAATAAATGTAAGGATTATTAATTCATTAATATTATTATATTTAATAAAAGAAATACCTTGCAAGTTAAACATAATGGTAAATTTCTACATTTAAGCATACCACAAAATTCGGAACTTTTTACTCGAGGAAATTCTTTACATTGAATACATGGAGGATTGGATAAACCAACTGCCAATGCCTCTCGACGACATTCATCACTGCAGAAATCGCTAGCATAACCATCGGGATCACAATCTACTAATCTCTGTTTACAGTTTTCACAATAAGCATTACCTTGTCCTTGGTTAGGAATATATGCCTCGACTAAATTTGGATGTTCTTCAACAATATATTCTTTATTATAATCATAATCATCCATAATAACTGATGATGGGTGTGATGGATAATGAACTTCATCATAAATTGGTTCCACTGGTGGATATTGTTCTTGGGGTGTATATTCTATTGGTGAACCCATGAGTATCGGTGGTGGTTGAGTAGGATATGTTGTTATGAGTGGAGTGGCTGTGACATAGGGAGAAGTGAAATTAGGGGGTTGATATTGTGGAATTTGTGGAATTACAATTACTCCAGGAGGATGTATTTGTTGAGGTTGTATATGTGGTGGTGGTTGTGAATTTCTTTTTCTCTAAAAAAAAACCAAATTTCATACATCAATAAAGTTGATCAAATGACGTTATAATAAAAGGTTATATGCATATATTATTTACCGAACTCCCACAATTTCCCATGGTTTTTTAGAGCGGATATAAGATTAAAGAAAATTTATTTGTCGCTCAATTTATTATTAGCGTTAGTTGCAAATTTAAAAAGATACTTTTGATAATCATATCATCCTAACATGAAACAAGAGAGGTTAGAAAATAGAGTTGAATTTAGGCAAAATTTGTGCATGGTTTATGAATTTCAACTTGTGGAATGAGTACAAAAATATTTAAAAAGGAACTTTTATTTAAGAAAACCGACTTCGATTTGTAACACATGTTCCTATGTAATAAGGTTCCCGGAGTTTGATGACAACACTTCCAGGAATCATTAACTCAAAAAAAAAAAATTATATTCCAGATCGTTTATTGGATATAGATATGTATTAATGGTACTCTGTTTCACAAATCAAACACGTAATTATTTATATTATTTATGTTTGAGTTGCGCATCACGAGACCAAGTAGCACTTAATCTGTCAAGAAGCAAAGTATAACGTTAAATATCTATATTGTCTGTTCTGTTAATTACTACTTCTTTTTTTTATTTTTTTAGATGTCAAAGTTACTTTTCGATAATAGCGCTCAAGAAATGAGCCTTTCTACGGTGAACAAGAATTCTGATGATAGCCGGTTGGAAAATGGACCTCTTCAAGATGCTCTGATAGAGGATAATATATTGGATAAACGTGGTTCAAAGGACAATGAGCACCTTGATCTGTTAGATGAAGCTGATTCACTTAAAACTAGTGAGAAAATAAATGGACAGTCAGGGACACAACATGGATTAGTAGAAAGTGAACAGCAAGTAAAACAACCACCTCAAAATGATTTTATAAGTGATATATCTGAACAGATAGAAGCAACGTCAATAATTGAAGAACAAGCTAACACTGGTATAGGCACAGAGCCATCAGAGAAAGTTGTGCACATGTCAGATAATAATGATACCGAACTCTTGCCAGAAGAAAATGAATTAGGTACGATCGATGGATCTTATCCGGATAATGAAGATGCAGTCGTTTTTGATGACAATGGGTTAAACGCTGGAGATGCAACAATTTATGATAACAATGAAGATGGAGTTGTACCCAATGATTTGGAGGATGAATCAAATCTTTCTATTAAGCAGTCTTCTAAAAAAGAAAATGATAATTCAAATAATGGGAAATCTCGTTGTATCTTGGTATATGAAGGCCAAGAATTTCCATTGCACGTAAAGTCAAATAAATGCTTGGGTGATTGGATGCAAGATCTCAAAAAAGAATATACTCGAGATGAAACACATGATCATGAAGTGGTGTTGACGTTTAAAGATTCAGCCGTTGATGACTTTCGATTAGTTTTGACACAAGTATGTTTATTATCATATATATATACAATGTTGAACCTGGCACTTTGTAGAACTTAGATGGAAATTTAAAAATTTTTATTATAGGACAATAAATATTCACAAAAGTTAACTATTGAAAAGATTATTACTACCCACAATAAATATCGAAGGTCGCATGATTTGAATACAACAGATCTTCTTATAATAATGACTTTGCAAGATCGGTTTATTTCACAATATCGAAAATATAATGGTATACAAATTCACAATTAAATAAATAAGAGTTATTTTATTTTCATGCGAGAATTAAGTATACAAAATATTTATATTCTACTTCAGATGTCGAAGGTGAAGAACCTGACACCCTTGATGTTGATGTTAATGATAATTATAAATTTGATTATGATAATATATTACCAAAATCAATAACAGAAATGGCACAATTATCTGGGACAGGTAATTCATTTTTTAACCATCAAAAGATGCCTTTGCAGTATTAAAAATTATGATGGTATGATTTTTGAGTATAAGGTTTATGCCAGTAGATTTATTTTGAATACATTAGAATATTTTAATTTTATTATAACGTAGAATTTCCACAATATGCTGGTGCTGATAATGGAGAAATACAATATATTGATAGTGAAACCTGGAAAAATGGAGCTCAAGGATTCTACACGGTTCCTCAAATATATCACCAAATTCAAGCGAATGAATTATATGTTAATTCTCAAGGACCCTACGGAAGTGGTTTAGGGTTATATGATAACATGCAATTTGAACAAAATGATTTATATGGCGATACTTTTAACGAATTACTAAATAATTTCGACAATCCAGCCGAGAGCTTTGATGGACCATCGATCTATTATAATCAGACGTTGGATAATTATGGTATCCCAAAAGAAAGTATATATGATGAAACGTTAAACACCAAAGAAACTATATATGATGATACATTAGAAGCAAGTAGTTCTCAAAATAATTCCGAAGCATTAAATATTGATGATAAAGCTCCATTTGTAACAGGTCAGTGAGAACATTTTTTCAAAATTTACTTTACTTATATAATATTAAAAATATCTTTTTTCTTTGTTTTTAGAAAATGAATTTGATCTTTCAGCTATGAATAGTGAATCGAAAAAAGATAACCCAGTTGCTCCTACCAATGACGAATATCCAGTAAATGAGATCGAAGTTTCTAAAGGAAAACGAGAAAGGACGAGTGATTCAGAAGGTATTATTGAATGTTACAGTAAAACTTAACTAGGTTACTAAATGTGCATTTATTGACATGTATATATTTACTTATTAGAAGATGTCAATAAGAAGGCCCGTATAGAATAAATGGTTTGAAATATCTTTTCTCATCACCATATGTAAACCTATTTTTTATTATCTTTTTTTTGTCACGCCCTTTTGTTTATTTGGGAAAGTGCCATTTGTCACATGATAATCCTTTTTATTATAGAGAACCTGGACATAATAAATGTCTATATTGTTTTATTTAAGGCCTAATAATTCTCACCCCTATATACCATCAAAGAATCGTGTAATAAATGGCACATTCCTTATTCCTTTCCTTAAATTTATGGGGTTTTCTTCTTTGATAATTATTATTACGTAGATTGCCATTTGTTTACGTTTGCGGCAACATTTTTTATTCGTGTATATATGATTAGGACTAACGAACGTTAATTTTGCTGCCTTCTGGGCACCAAAAAAAAATAAATAACCATAATTCTTATAGTGTGACAAATACTTTGATAACATACATTTATATTTATTTATTTATTTATTTATTTTACCTATTGATATTTTCGAATCACTAGGGAACAATTAATAAAATCTGTCAAAATTTGCACATTTTGCAATAGCCATTCATAATTAGTATACCTGAAAGTTTAAGTCATGTTATGTTATTTATCAAATTTAAAAATTAAATGATCATTAATAAATATAACTTATGTCGTAATTAAAATTTAAACAAAAAAATAGTCTTTGATAATGATATGTTACAAGTACGCATTGTCAGGGATAATGCACTTAGGTAGTACGCTTAAAAAACTTATACATCAATACTCCAATGAAATAATGCAATTTAATACATCATTTATTAGCTGATTAAAATAGCTTGCGTTAGGGAGTTTACATATCGGTGTTTAATACCAACCTATCTACGTACGGTTTAATTAAGTTGGTATTATGATAAATAAATTTTAAACAAATCCATTGATAATTACAGTTTAACATTGGAAACCTATCAGAATAGATCCTAAAAGTTATGGTTACCATTACAACTAGGGATGTATGTACGAAGTAATGATATGATATTTGTATATTTGTACGTATCTATTTTGTTAATATATATATATATATATATATTTAATGAGTAATAATAATAGTAAAATCATAGTCGATGAAAAATCAAAAATCCTTTCGCTCAAAGTACACCTCTAGTAGTTAAAAACAAACCTTTTGTTCATGATATAAAACATCTTGATTTACGTAAAAGATTATGGATATATCGAACTATAAAATAGTATTGTTATGAAGGAATCCTTTTGCATTATTATCTCTTTCTTTGTATGCAACAATAATTTAGTTACTACATACTGTATGACGGAAAGTATTCTTTTATTACAAATACACAAAATAAAATTAACCGGAATACGTAATTCTTTGACTTTATATTATATAATTGAATGTGTATTATTAAACCACTTACTAGAAAACGTGAATGTAAAAAATAATTTTATTTTATTATTCAATCAAATATATAATATAGATGGGTTATAATCTTATATGCAAATTTTTAATACCGATACTATATATTAGACTTTAAATTTAATGGTAAACAGATATTAAATCAAAATGGTGTGAAGAACAGTTTCAAATGTTTTTATGTCTGAAGCATATAAGAACAAAAGATATCAATAGTATTTTAGTATGATTCTATAATAAATTACAATTCGTTTTTAATATTAGTGAAGACCAATTAAACTCGATAAAACAAAAATAAGTTCTTTGTATATGTATTTTTTTAGTAGTCTGGATGCTTTCATCACAACAAAAATGATTTATAATATCAATTAATAAACCACATTTAAAAGCCTTCGTACCCTATTTACAACAATGCCTATATTACATTTTGTGATTGTTCAATGATATTATTGTTTGTAATTTGATTTAACCAAGTTATCGGATTGCACTCCAATCTAACGTAAAAAAGCAATATACATCAAATTTTTTCTCCTAACAATAATTCAGTTTTATTACGGAAAAAGCAAATAAATAGTCAAGAATTTTTTGCATGACAGTCAAAAGTTTCTTACTTAAATGTTTCATGTTTTGTCCAATCATCCATTAATGTCCATTAATGACGTAAAGATGGTAAAGTTCTTAGGTTCAGAACCGTAGAACTTGATTTTAGAATTTGGTTTTAAAAACAAGTTCTAATTTTGGAACCTAAATTTATAAATTTGTAATAGGTTGCAATAAGATAAAAAATGTTTTTGTCGCCAGTGGTGGTTGTAATCATGATTGTTAGAACCATGAAGTCGTCACATAAAGTAAAAGAGATATGACGGCATTTAAACTAATTTAAAATCTATAACAGATAATAAAAGAGTATAAGCATTTATAACTTTGTCATTTGGAAGGTAAGATCAACAGATCAATATAAATTTAAATA